TGCTGGGGTGTCACACAGTGGAGAGCCTGCGGGGCTGAGACCCTGGCCCAGAGCCCCTTCCTCTTCCCAAACTGTGACATAGGTTTCCCACACATGGTCCCCTGAGGGGCTGCCAGTTGAGAGCGGCAGTGGTGGGGCATCTCTCGTCCACCCCCTGTTTTGACACCAGGGTTTTCTGGGTGTGGCTTGCTTGCCCTGCTGCCAGCCCAGAGAAGCTGCAGCCTCTCGCTCCAATCCCAAGGTTGCCGGGCTGGGGCCCTAGCTGTTTGGCAGGTGGCTGATGCCCCTCAGCCCCAGCCTGGCCAGGGGTCTGTAGCCTCCCTCTTCAAGGAGTGTTCAGGTGGGATTCCTCAGGGACGTGGCAGCAGGGCTGAGGGTGGGGACAGGCATGGTCTTGAGTGGACCATTGCCCCACCCTTCATCGGTAAAGAAGCTTGACGAGGTCCCCTCAATGGGGTGCTTGGGGCCTTGCCAGAGCTGGGCCCCAGCCCCTCCTCAGCTCTCTGCCTCCTGCCTGTCGAAGGCCTTCAAAATCTAGGCCAAGCACTACCCACCAAGGCCCCTGCCTTCTCCCCTCGTTGTGGAAGTCTCCCTCCTGGCTTGCTTAGTGCTCTGCTTGTGGCCTCACCGCAGCCATCCCAGCCAGCCTTTGCTGTGCTTCTTGCCCTCCCTGGGCTCCTTGAGGACAAGCACACCGCTTGGTTCACTCCCGACTCCCCCACATAGCAGTTTGGGAGTAGCCAGCACTCAATAAACATCTTTTGACTTGACTGAACTGGGCCCCCCACCAGCTTTGGAGATGAAAACTTAGTTGGGCAGGGGTTGCTTTGAGGGTACAAGCAGAGGATCTGGGGATGGAAAGCCAGAGGCCGAGAACGGGTCAGGTCTCTCTCCTCCACCCTTCTCTCCAGTCCTCCCCTCCTGCCCTTCTCCACCAGGTGGTGCTCTTTTCCCTTCCGTGGAAGGATGGGAAGCTGTGGCCAGCTTTATAGCCACTTACATGGCCACCAGCCTTATAACCCACCTTCCATCCATTGCTTTGAATCCATTGTCAAATGTGAGCCCGCAGTTGAAGGCAGGCATAGATGATTGTTTTCATCTTACAGAGGGTGAATCTGAGGTTCAGGGAATGTACTTTTCCTCAAAGACATTTGCTCCCAGGTAGGCAGGATGGGAACTTGAACCCAGGTCCTTGGACTTTTGGTTCAGTGCTCCTTGGTGACATCATACAACTCCTTACCAGCTCCTGGGCTAAGCCTGATCCTGACCCTGGACTGCTCTGGTCTGGGAACTCCTTGACCTCCCTCCATTCCTCCCCTCCAGCCCTACCTCTGGGGAAGATGTGTTCTTCCTCTGGCACTCGAATCTGGGTTCTTTTCCCTCTACTCCACTCATCACCCCCTCAGGCTCTCTCTCCCTTGGCTTCCACTCCCCAGCCAAAAAGTCTGCTTAAGTATCCCCCACCCCAATGGAACCGTGCCCTCGCCCTGACTCACCTGTGCTGCTGGCCGTCCCTTCCTGCTAAGTCTCTCCGTGACTCAATTCTATTTCTTCACCCTTGATGCTCTTCCTCACTGCAGTCTGGTCTCTGCCACACCCATCCTCTGCCCAATTCAGGGTCACGTCCTCCGGCTCTCAGTCTCCCCAATCCTCCGTGCTGCCTCTTCCTTCCTCACCTGCCCCGAAAGGTGGGTGCTCCTCGGGTCTCGGCTCACATCTGGTCTCCTCTCTGCACGGTCCCTGGAGAGCCTGAACTACACTGCTGATCCACCGATGACTTCAAAGTCCTGTCTCTAGCTCAGGCCTCTCTTCAGGGAGATGGACCCTGGGTTTAAGTTGCCAATCACTACTCCTCCAGCAACACAGCATGGGGGCTAAATGTGTGGACTCTGAGCCCAAATGCCTGGGTTCACTTTCTACACGGACTTGAGTGAAATACTGAAGCTCTCTGGGCCTCAGTTTCCTTATCCATAAAAAGAGGGATTATAGTGTTTATTTCAAAACCCCTTTGTAAGGCTAAATTGGAATAAAATATGAAAAGATTACTTAGACCAGTGTCTGACATGTCCCCTCTCCTCTAGAACACTCTGCCTAATATTCTGAGCCAGAAACCTTGGAGTTATTCTAGACTCTTCCATATCCTTCCTCCAACACCCAGTTGTTCACCAGGATCTGGGGGCTTCTGATGTTTGATGCCCCCTGCCCGGGTGCCATGACCCCCACCCCTGTCTCCTTGCTCCCCCCAACGCACCCCGTTCTTTTCCACATCCTACCACAGTGGCCATGACACATCTCCGCTTACATCCCTGCCCCAAGCCAGGCTAGAATCTAAGTGCCTCAGGCCGAGTCACTTCACTCCACGGTGACATTCCCACCGGCATTTCCTTCCTTATCCCTCCGTGCTTCCTGCCCACGAACCTTCCGCTGGGCTCCGGCCACACTGCTGGAGTCTGCTCTCTCCTGCCTCCCTGCCTTTGTCCATGACAGTGTTTCTCCCTGGAGTGTTTTACCCCCATTGCCCATTCCCACCCCATCCACGAAACCCTCAAAAGCTCATGGCCACCTGCTTCTGGAAGCCTTCCTCTGCTTCTCCAGACTTCCATGACTCCTTTCCTGGGATTTCAGCTAGAGTCAGGATTGGTGAGACCAGGATCCCTCAAGGGAAGGAGCTAGACCTTATTTCCGTATCCCCAGGGGCAACCTCTGCTCTCCCTCCCAGTGGTATATTAGGGCTCCTGATAAACGTTTGTGAACGAAGGAGGGTGATTGGGCTGGGAGAGATGAGAAAGAAGGAGGGTATAAAGAGAGGGTCTTCAGTGAGGGGCACCCTCCACCCCCCGTTGGGCTTTACTGCAGTAAACCTCAGAGAGTGTGCCAGAAATTGAGTGGATTTGGGGGTGGATGGTGAAATGTGGGGAGTGAGACACCGGAGGCCAGAGGGGATAAGGAGCCAGGAGGAAAGGAAGGATGAAAGAGGTGCTGGAGGAGATGGATGAGGGAGGGCCGGGACAGGATGGGGGTGCAGGTCAAGGTGCAGGAAGAGGTGGGAAGGGCAGCAGGGTGGGGGAAGAGCGTACTTTCTGGGAAGTGGGAGAGGATGGGGGAGGTGAGTGCAGTGCATTGTGGAGGGAGGAATTGCCTGCCGGCCAGTGTGAGCTCATTTCCTCTCACTGCCTCCTGTGATGTCTGAGGGCATCAGGCTCTGGAAAAAGTGAGCCAGGGGCACCCCAGAGGCCACCACCCTCCTCCCCTCCCCCCTAGCCTCAATCCAGTCTGGATCTCAGATGCTACCACACCCCCCTTACACAGACAACCCATTTATTCTGAGAGGGAAGGACCCCGGAGCCAGGGTGGCAGCAAGCTTTGGACCATAGGAGCTACAGGGCTGAAAAAGTCAGAGGGAACTGGTTAAAGATTAGGCAAGAAAATACAGGCAGTATGAAGGATTACAGTTAGACAGCAGGAAGGACTTCTCAGAAGTGGGGGATAATTCTGGTTGCACATGACCTTGACAAAGAGAAGTGGGGAAGGAAGAGGAGTCATTAGCTGCCCCTCCATGATTACAAAAGCATCCCTTTCCATTGACTTCCAGGGGATTTAAACTAAAATAAGTTAAATAAAACATAAGATTTAAAAACAAGTCAGTATCTCCTTCCTCAGACTCACAGGAGTAGGGATGGTGTCCTTGGCGTCTGGGCCACACTGCCCCCTCCAGGGCCTGAGTCCCTGATCCTAATCAGAAGTGAAGGTGTGGAGAGCTTGGGGCCGATCCACCCTCAGGAGTAGGGGTGTTGGTGGTGAAGCAAATAGGTTTTATGAAGCTCATTGCCATGGAGTGGGTGGGCCATTCCAGGAGGCAGAGTCAGCCTTCCTATTTTCATTGCCCACCTTACCCAATTCATATTCCTGTTTACCTATGGCCTCTGCCTTCCTTTCTTCATACTCTGGGTGAAGGACTACAAGAGCCCTTTAAAACTACAAGAAGGCATGGGAAAGAGGTAACTATAGGATGTAGGAGATAGGAGGTAGGATGTTAGATATCAGAAAGAACTTTCTAGCAGAAAATGAAAGACTGAGTGACTATCCTTTTCTGGATCATCAGGGAATGGGTTGCAGGGGTTCTGCTTGGGAGCAGGGAAATGAGAAACTGATTCAGGACCCTGGTGGTAATTTGGGCCCCTGCTCAGAGTGAAGCTGGGAAGGGAGGCTGTGGGGAGCTTGTGACTGGGAGGCCTGGAGGGTCTCTGCTCTTACTGCCACCCACTGCAGAGCTGGTTTGTGGGCTGTCTAGAAGCCTGAGCCACAGGCTGGCTGGGTGGGGGGCTGGGGGGCTGGGGCACCTGCCAGCCTCTCTCTTACAGCCTCCATTCTCCTGCCTACTTGGGATCCTGGGCTGAGACTCATTTCCCAAACTGAGGGGCATGGAGGCATGGAGCCCCTGAAGGTTCCCCACTCACCCCCACCCTCTGCCCCTTTGGATATAACCATCTCTGCCCTTGTCTCAAGTTTCTGTGAGTCTCCAGATGGAAGACCCCTTAATCCTTTTTCTGTCTTCCCTTCTTTTCCAGATGGGTCTCTTCATCTTTTTCTCTGATTTTCTCTGCCTCTCTCTACCATCTCTGTTTTGTCTCTGCCTCTGTCATGCTTTCTGTGTCTCTCCATCTCTGTCTCTGACCATCTCCGTTTAGCTGTGTTTCTATCTGCTTGCCTTTTCTTTTTTTTCTCCTTTCCTCCCTCCCTTTCTTGGTACTAGTTCTGGTTTCAGTGCCCTGGCCTCTTTCCTTGGCCCGCCTATCTGGGCCAGTACCCTGGAGGCTGGCCCAAACTATCTCCCTGAGACCATCTCTCTTCCGCAAGCTGTGTTCTGCCCTCTAGCTCTGCTACCAGAGCGACTCCCTGTCTCAGTCCCCTGTACCAGTCTGCTACTCTAGCGACAGGCAGAGGGTGCGCCCCGTCGGGAACCCAGTGGGAGGAGCGAAGAGAGCCCCACCCCCGCCTTCGGCCCCGCCCTCCGCCCCCGCCCCTCCCGGGTCCCTGCCTGCGCCCCCAGCAGTGCCCTGGCCGCAGAGCCGCCGCTGCTGCCCGATGAATGGAGTCGCCTTCTGCCTGGTCGGGATCCCGCCCCGCCCGGAGCCCCGGCCCCCTCAGGTGAGAGCGCTGAGC